ACTGAACCATTCGGGAAGCCCAGAAGGCCCTTGGCAATATGTAAATAGACCATTCAACAGGGATAATGCAAAGACAAACATGTTCTGATAACGGGAAAATGCCCCAGAATCGAAAATTTTAGAAATCATGCATGCAGTCAAGGAACTTCAACCTCGAAGCCAATTCAGTCTTCAAAAATTACTTCTTCTCTTACAAAGTGTTCTCTTTAGTATTGAAAAAACTAAAGAGGGACTTCCTCACTGGAGGAAGACTTGGAAAAACCCCAGACCTAAACGAAAAGCAGTGATCTTGGCCAGCAGCTTTCTGGTTTCCCCTGGCTATTATTAAGGATCCTTCTGTTTGACTAAGAATTTCTCCACCTCTCACAAACCATCTTTTTTCATTCTGTGTCCAGAAAAGTCTGAACACCATGTGTTTATAATGAGCCTGTTGCTATGCACATCGTTAAAACACATTACAAAAATCTTTCCTTTGAGTCAGGAGGAGGGCAGAACGGGGGAAGATAAACTCCTAACCAGAGTCCTGTTGCTGAACAGAAAAGCTGGCAAAAAGGCAGAAGAGAAGCCAAGCAAAATGGAAAAAATTATGGTGGTCCATCCTTGAGTCATTTTAACCAAAGGGGGAAAAACGAACATTTTTAAAGCCCCAAGGTAATGCATCTTACAGCTTGGAGAGAATTGTCTCCCTAATCTCGTTCATTTTCATGGTTTCATGACTCATCCTCCATCTGTCTCTTACTGTGTCCTCTTCACCAGCTTTTTCACACTTCTTCAAGAATATTAAGAGGTTTTTTTCCCCCTTTTATGAGTACTTCTGTGTGTATTCTCCTTCTGATAACTTTGGTCTTCTAGTCAATCACCACCTAAGTGTTGGTTCTGAACTGTCTGTTTCATTCCTGACTCCACCATAGCTATCTTGGCATTTTTCCTTCACTTATGAAGAGGCTTGTTTTTGAAAAGTCATATCTGGGAGATGAGACGAAACACAGTACATCAGAATTTAAGGAAAAAACAGGGGCTTCTCTGCTGGTCCCGTGGTTAAGACTCTGCCTGTCAATGCAGGGGACACAGGTTCAATCCCTGGTTCGGGAAGATACCACATGCCATGGAGCAAGTAAGCCCGTGGACCACAGCTACTGAGCCTGTGCTCTAGATCCCGGGAGCCACAACTGCTGACGCCCACATGCCCGAGAGCCTGTGGTCCACAGACAGGCCACCACAACGAGAAGCCCAGAAAGCAAATAAGTAAAAAAAAATTGTTTTTTAATTTTAAAAAACAGTGTCTTAATTTTCTAATTTAAGAAACTTTGATCATCTTAATAAAGTCAATCACCTTCTTAAACAGCATGCAATCAACATTCTTCTCCAATTTTTGTTGTATTGTTCCAAATACCGTATTAACCCACAAGTTTTCAAGGGTAGAACTGTCTGAAGACGAGAAATGAAATACATGTAATGAAATATACATTAAACATATCTTCATTTCACCTCTATTTTTATATAGATCACAGAGAGAGAGAATTCTAACTTCTTTGTTCTTATTCAGAGAAGAAATGGCTAATGTTATAGAACCTGTTTTACTCTCAAATAGAGGTAGCCAAATCACTGCAAACATGTGTTGCGTGAAAACAAGTGTGGTGGACTCCAGACAAAGGCTTATTTTTGAAGCACAGATGGTTGAATGGTTGCCTCCTCCAAAGGGTTGCCCGAAATGAAAGACAGATCTCTAGTTCTAATCTATGCAAACATCTTACTGTGCGGGGCATCACAAAGACTAACTGTTCTGTGTCAAAGCTGCGGATCCCAGGTGCTCTCAGAAGCCCAAGTCCATCTGCACCTGAGACCGCCTGGTCACTCAGGAAACAGGGACTGACTGGAGAGCCGGTCACTGACCGACTCCTCGTGAACGCTGCTGCGGCCTTCGGTGAAACAGTCCTCTGGGATCCCGCCCCACCACTGCTTCTCCTCGGCCGCTCTGCCTGGAAGGCAGTTTCAATATTCAGCGCAGGCCCCAGACGCTTCTAAAACCTCCCAGGAAGGTTCATATTCCCGAGGGCTCCCAATGACTGTTAGTATTACAGCTCCCTTCCACTTGAATTCAGCTCATCTGCTCACCTCTAACATCAAACTCAGAAATCCTGAACACTCCAAAATGTCCTGTCTGAACCAGGCCTCCTTTGCACTCTGGTCTATATGTCCAAAACTAAGGGTGGGCCTCAGTGAGCCAAATCTGGGTCATAGTTGGTGGCTCTCAACCTTCCCAAGTATATATATATATATATTCCTTTTTTCTCTTCTTTTTCTTTGGTCACACTGTGTGGCTTATGGAATTGTAGTTCCCCAACCAGGGATGGAGCCCAGGGCCCCCACAGTGAGATCACCAGCCCTGAGCCCTGAACTCTGATGGAATTCCCTGCTTTTTTTCTCGTCTTTATCCCTCTATCAATGTTCCTTTATTTATTTACAACACTTTTCTCCCTTGTTTCTCCATCTCTCCAGCATAAGTCTTTGACCTGCTCTGACACCCCTTGGCACATTTCGGTTTTCAGGCCCTTTGGGGCAACAAAAAATTCCTGCAATGCTGGTACATGGGGGTGGGGAGGGGAGTACCAAGGAACTCCTCATGCGAACCCAGCTCCTAATTACAAATATCCTCTCCCACAGAGAGAAGGTTATACCTGAAATTTACATAGGTTAGTTCCAGAGTTTAAGTCTAAAAAATGTCCTTCAAAGTTCTGAATTATTTTCAGTTAGTTTTTCTGATCAAACAATAGTAAGAGAGTCTGCTTCAAACTCCTGTGTTGAGAAACACTTCTTTCCTTCCTTATCAAACCTCTTACATGAACCAACCTAACCAAGCAAAAAGAAAGTCAAAAGTTCCTACTCTATACCTCAAGTTTTGAGATTTAAACACGTTTTGTTTCAGCTTACATAGGCAAATACTGACAATCAAATAATGCAGCATTAAGTTTACCTACCTAGAAAATCTAAAACTGTAAAGAGCTTTAGAGGTTAACTAATTTATTGATTCCCAAGTCTGGATGAACATCAGAACTACCTGAGGAATATCGTTTATTTTAAACAACACATCCTTGTGATCCCCAGCCTGAGACATTCAAGTTCAGGCTTCTGGTGCCGTCCTAGAATCCATATCTCGAATAAATGCTTTGGGTTAATTATGATCCAGCAAGTCCTGGTCTGAGAACCACTGATGATTCCAATATCCAATATGGCGGTCTCCTCTTCAAGACACCACACAGGCTATTCACTCTGAGCTACAGCAATTCCAGAGACCAAGGAGCCTGCTCTTTTGTAGGTCTGCTTGTTCGACTTTCATGTGGCTTTAATTATTAGAAACTCTGTTCTTATGTCAAGCCAAATGACCAAAGTCTTTCAACTCCTTGAACTTCATTGTTGCTGACCCTAATTTTGTTCTCCAGAGCTGACACAGAATTCCCTCCCCATGAGAGTCCAAAGGCAGCTACTGTGCCCTTGCAAGTCTTCATCTTTCTAAGCTTAAACAATCTTTTGTTTTTTTTAACTTCATATTCTGAGTCCCTCACCACTTCAACTGCTCTTCCTAAATAGACATTACAGAATAAATCTGTCTAGAGGAACACCACTTCATTTTTTTTTTTTCCTTACAGGCTGAACTTTTCTCAGTATGCATTAATTAATAGTCCCTGTTTCACCCTTGGCACTCATGGTTTTGCATTTAAAGGTCCAAGAGTGATGAAGCAGCAAGTATTTATTAACCTAATGCTGTGTTCCTAACACTGTGTAAAGTACTCAAGAAGGATTCAAAAGCTGGAGGAAATCATCTTGATCCGATTTGACTTGAGGAGATTTGAGGAGATAATTTCTTAGACAGAAAGGACTTAAATGAAATCACTCAAAAACAGCACATGATGGTATATAATCAAGTGCTTCAAATGAATGACACCTGAAAGACTGATGTAGGTTTCGTGGGTCAGTCTGCTCTCTCAGAGCCTCTGTTTTATAGAAACATCACCTATGTAACAATAGTTTGGATTTAAAAAAGAAGAAGATGGACACTATCACCTTAAAATGTAAATAAAAATTACAACTGCATCCTTATTTCAGAAATTGAAAATCTAAGAAATGACACATATAATAATCAAGTAGCATACTGTTCCTTCCACCCCAGATGTCACTGGCATTGCTTCCAAAGCACTTTGAATGCCATGATCTGAGTAAAAGGCTTATAAGTAGAGAGTTTATGCAGTTCCCTTCATTACTGGAAATAACCATTTGATAAAACACCCCCCCACACACACACACCTGCATATTTTAACAAACATCAATAAAAACGTACTCATTTCATTCACAGAGCTGCGGACTAATCAGATCATTCCAGACTTAGACGCAAATCCCTCACTTTACAGATGGGGGAGAAATACCATTTCAAAGGCCGCAGTTTCTCCCAGGTAAAGCAGCCAACAAGCAAGAGGGTGGGGCCAATCCCCAGGTCTCTCTGCCTCCTGGCTTCCTGTTTCTTTGTAGTAATCCTACCAAACCAAAACTCTTACCCAGTCTGAGCTTTCCTCAACTCTACTCCCATCTTCAGTGACCTTCTCAATCCTCAAATGCAGAGTCGGACGATGCATTTTGTTTGGAGACATTTAGAGGGAAGGAGTGGACCAAACAGCATTAGGTGGTTAATCGATTTTTTTAAATTAAATTCTAGCATATTTATTTTACTCTCAGTCTCCAACTAATATTTCTAGGCTTCTAGACACAAAATTCTACCTGTCTCAGGATGACTGCTACCTCACAAGCAGAAGGAACCACTGGCATGAGCTACACGGATTCAAACAAAAATTCTAAAGCTGCAAAGTGACTGGTAACCAATCCCCAACTACCTCACCCTCTCCTCCACTACACACACACACACCCCTAAATCAACCAGCTCATCTACTTCCTCTGAAGTCTGTCAGTCCACACCCTTATTTGGAGCACGGAGAAAAACCTGCACCTACCTTGTGGCTTCTTGCTGAAGCCATGACACATTTGGCACATAGAACATGACTCCAAAGAAAAGCAGAGGCTCATTAGCGAATTTGTCCAGATGTTTCTTCAGAGGTTTCTCCAGCTCCACCCATCGTGCTTGCTGGCTCTTGCTGAGAAACCAAAGGCCAAAGTAGTGTGTCTAGGTAAAAAGACAAGACAGCATCAGTTCAGGCCTCCTAAGGGGCATCCTGAGACCACACAGGAAATATGACTCCAGTGTCTAACCTCACCTTTGGTCCCCCAGCCTGGACACAAGGATCCAGCTTTCACTTTGGAACTTACGAAAAGAAAGCAGAGGCACACAGGACTGTAAGCCACCCCGAGTCTCCAGATGGCAGTGTTCCTGCCCATGGCTGCTACTTGCACACGTGGGGACAGATGCACCCCTGTTAGGTAAGGGCTGGGTGACACAGAGTGGAGACCATGCGGCTTATTCTAAGATCTCGAGCTGACTTCCCTGTGCTTTCGGAACGCCTCGAGATCTCACATGGAGCTCGCCGGCAGAGGCAGACACAGCTCCTGCACCTGCTGCAAAGTAACTTCCTGCTCAGCTCCGAAGATGAACCCTTCTGCCTATGTTAAGTGTCCGCAGCGCAGAATATTTTCATAGGGTACCTGATTTGAACAGAAAATGGATTCACTCTGAGCTTTAATGAAGTACTTTAAAAAACAGTGGCCTCGACCACTTCATTATACATGAACTGCAAAGAGTCTCTCCCCCATATTAAGCTGGAGAGTGGAAGGAGTCGCTCTTCGCAGCTGCCACAGGAGCCCCCGGTGGCTGTTCTTGGCAGATTAGTGGGGGGGATTTGATAGATGAAAGTGAGGTTTTTCACCCTTGGACTTGAAGCCTCAACTGGTTGAGTTTTGAACAACGTGCTAAATGATTAAAACAGGTACTTTTATGCATCCAATCCTGTCTTTATATTAATTCATGCTAGGATTTCAGGATTAGCACAGCAGTCAACCAAAAAAAAAAAAAAAAGATCATTGCTTTTGAAGCATTCTTTTATATTTCAATTATAGCCTAGAATGGTTTACAGCACACCTGGAAATCTGCCTTCAAAGGCATGATTTCATTACAATGTTTAATTTCCAAAGGCATTTTTGTGCCCAAGTTCCCACTACAGCTGGCTGCACCCTCAACGATACAGTACATCAATCCCCGTCACCACGCCACCGAAATGTGTAATCAAGTCTTGACTCTGAGTTTACTAGAAAACCAGACATATCCTTCCCTATACATAACTGCAGATCTAAATATTCTAAAGGATATTGTTAAATGTGTGAGCTTTCAGATGGGACCGTTTCCTCCACGATATTTCACAGGGCAAGTCCACACCAGAAATTTATGCATTTCTCAAGCAACAAAATGCCAACAAACAGAATCAAGGCTATATTTCTATTTAAAACTTAGGCCAACTTGCTTGAGTGAATTCTGACCCTATTGTTCATTTCCCAGCTATAGCGAGTCCATTAGTTGTTCCAGTGTGACTGATGATATAGAAGAAATGAAATGTGGCTGAGCGGAAAGAAAATAGGCAAAAAAAAAAAAAAGAAAATAGGCTCTGACGTCAGTTCATCTCCCAGCTTCTACACTCACTGTCTCCATAACTGTATGAGTGATGGAGCCTCCCAGAGTCTTGGAGCTTTCTCCTCTGCGAAATAGGGGTGGTGATTACCCCCATCAGCCACAGGCTGTAAGGGGCATAAATGAGATAAAGACCAGTCACCATGTGCGTGGCCCACCTTATGTAACTACTTCACAAATGGAACTTTCTGTTGCAGCTATGTATCATCATGATCATCAGCCTCAGTAAAAAAAAAAAAAGGCAGACAAGCCTCAAGCATCTTTGTCATCAGCTGCTATTGGTATCCCTGTCAACCACAGAATCAGAAAACAGAAGTTATCTGGAAATAAAGGAGAACAGGCAGGCAAAAGCAGAAGCTGGAAGGTCTACGAATAACATAAAAATCTAAACAGTATAAGAAAAAACTTCACAAAGCAGTGTCTCCCCAAAGAGTTTCTTTAAGAGTCTCATTAAAGGTGTTTATGGGACACTGGACTATCACTCTGAAGCTTTCCAAGGGGATCTATCATGTGGGCTTAGGCTAGCCTGAAAATGAGGCAATCCGGGGACTTAATTTAATAAACCATCTGAAAAAGATCCAATGCAGTTCTGCATTGCACCAAATTCCTTCACGGAGCACAGTGCTGTATAAGGGTATTCCACCGTATGTTGGATGACTAGGAGTGAGTCTGTATATGATAAATGAGGTAATATATGTAAGCAGTGATGGGCTATGTGATAATTATTTTACTTGGAAAAGAGCCCTTTTGTAAGCCTGGGTGGAGAAAGTGAGGGCAAACTTTGCAATTGCTTAGCAGGCCAACCACGATTTATCACCTTTCATTAAAAGCAGTCTTGACATTTGGAGGTATGATTTTACAGTCCCTACTTCACTCAAACTGTAACATTCACTCGAATTAGTAGCACTTAAACTATAACGGGTCCACAATAACTGCATAAACATTCTATAATTGATTTTGCAAAAAAAAAAAAAACAAGGTAACTTTTACTTCTCCTGTGCTTTAAAGGCCAGTATTTTAAGTTTCCTTTTCTCCTTCCTACCCAACCATTAAACCAGACCTGATCTCTGCTCTTCAAAAAAAAAGGAAAGAAAAAACACTCTGAGAAAGTATTCCATGGACCACACATATACACACAGATGCATGCATGCACACGTGCATACACAGAAAAGGAAGGTGATGAGGTATAAGAGAATCATGGTGTGAAAATAGTCTTGAGCTATAATTAATAGTACAGAATTCCAAATAACAAGGCAAACCACTTTTAATGTCAAAACCTAATCCATGGCGTAAGTTACTTTTGCTGCTGCAGTACAACCTTTTCCACAAAACACAGGGTATTTCTGGGTGATTCACATGCGTTTATCCAATGAAACAATTATTTAACTATCCAAGAAATAGGGTTACAGTGCAGGAGAAGCAGATAACCTGGAGGACACAGTTTCTACCTGCTATGGCCAGAATGACCTAGTTTTAGAAGTGCTGAATTCAGTTATCCACCCCATCTGCACACTGTTTGGTAAAGCTCTGCTCCAAGTAAGGTTCTCCATTCCCACCTCATCCCTCCCTATTCTTCCTCTGTCATATGCCTGCTCTGGAGTGCTCGACAGAGGAGAAAGACCCTGTCTCCTCTCATCACCCTGCTCTATGCAAGTTCACAGGCTGCACGCTCACAAGACTCAGCCATGTCTCACAGTGCATCACAAGAAACAGAACCAGAACCTAACCTCTCACTTAAACTAACATGTGCACCAGTGAACTTCCTGTGTATCGTCCAAGGGGCCATTAATCCAATCCAGCCTAGCTGAGGCCACACCAGGCCTGTGCATAAGCCACCTGCCAATTTCAACTCCAGCTGAATTCTGAAAGCTGAGCTCCTCTGCTAAACACTGCCACGTGGTTGAAGAAAATGTGGTGGATTCCGAACAGAAACCCCCTCCTCCTTGACCGAAAGGATTCTACCACACTGGCCAAGTAAAATGCCTGAGACACTTGCTGGGTTTATCTCCAAAGCACCAAACATAAGCCAGGTCCATCTAAGCCTCACAATACCTCTGTGTGAGCTCTAAATCCCATTTTATTTCCCTAGTTTTCTTTAGAAAAAAAAAAAACAGCTCTGGTGCCGTGAATTCTGCAATGAGTTCCCTGCAGATAAGAAAAAGAAGACAGAAAAACCAGTTCCCAGAGAGAAGAACCACATCTCTAAATCAACTGCTAAAAATGCACGACTAAAATAACAATGGGAGAAGAGTCACCCTAAACTGTCATTTTCATATGAGTAGCTTCCTGGTTTATTTGGTTTGGAGTTTTGCATTTTAACAGGAAAGCATAAGTGTATGTGAGCCCACAAAAAATAGGTTTCTTCAGTGGCAGATTGGCCTGTAAATCCGCCAGTGTGAAAGTGAGATCCCCCTTGTGGGATCATCAAAAGACTGTAGTGAAGAAGGCCTTTAAAAACAATTTGAGATGTTTCTGATTTGCTGTCCATTTATCTGGAAAAATGGTATTATTCTCCACAGTAGCTATTAATGAGGGTAAGGTTTGTTTCTTTTTTTTTTTTTAGGGTTTTTGTTTTTCTAGTTTTGTGACCAACAGCACAGCTTAAATGCTGTTTATAAGGGTTACAGACACAGTCTTGGCAATTACTAGGGACCAGGGATTAAATCCAATGATCTTATCTCAAGCATTTTGAAGAGGTAATCATCCAGAAGCAAAAGTTTAAAATACCTTGCATTAGGTTGTAAGGGTTTCTCTGTAGGAGCGTACAGTTCGGTTGTAAATTAAGAAGCAGAGAGGTTGAGATGCCTCCACATAAAATATAGAGGAATTACACAGAAGCATTCAAACCTTCACTGAGGTATGGAAAATACTTCAAAAGATGACTGGACGCAGACTCTGAAATAGCAGTTCACGCAATTACATTCCAGCGGCTTTGGAAAATAAACCACCATACATCAGTTGGATAACTGCAAAAAACAACTTCTGCGCAATCAACCTCTACTCTGGAAGTCTGGGATTTCTATAACTGACACGTCTATAATTAACAACCGCACCATCTTCATTTTCCTAGGCAATCTCTTTGTAAAAGTACAGGAAAAGAAACTTCAGAGTAACACAGACCCAAGCAGCAAATCTCATAGCCAAGAAAAATCCCTCCTTTGGAGGCTATACCACTCACTTGGAATACACAAAAAGATGAAGACCTTATAATCTGTCTATCTAGAAAAGAGACACTGGTGCCAATTTACCTTACAGAATTGACATAAAGCTAATAAGATTTCACATTATAATCTTTACAAAGACAAAACGCAGTACAAAATTCAGAAATCTCCCCAGCAGCCTACTCTTCAATCGTTTCTTAATCTTGGTTGATTATTTTAGTCCTCTGCAAATACAAACACATCTAGATGTGTTTAAGCTGGCTAAAAAACACAGCAAATTCCACTATTATCTCACAGGGCCAGGGAATGAGGTGTTAGAGTACTCCCATTATCACAGATAAATTTCCAATTCCCAAAAGATTAACATAAAATCAAGCCATAGTAATG